CTGGAGTTCCACGACGTCCGCGACGCTTGCGCCGAGTTCCTGGAGAAGAACCTGCACCCCTCCAACTGCCTGGGCATGATGCTGCTGTCCGAGGCGCACCAGTGCCGCCGCCTGCACGACCTCGCGTGGCGCATGTGCCTGGCCAACTTCGGCGCGCTGGCGCTCGCCGACGACTTCCTGTCGCTGCCGTGCGACAAGCTGGCCGAGCTGGTCTCCAGCGAGGAGCTGGACGTGGAGGACGAGCGCGTGGCCTACGAGGCGGCCAGGCGCTGGGTGGGCCACGACCCCGCGGTCCGGGCGGCCCACCTGCCCCGCCTGCTGGCGGGCCTGCGGCTCGCCATGCTGCCGCTGGTCTACCTCGCCGAGGTCGCCGGCGACGAGCTGATCCGCGGGCAGGCGCGCAGCCGCGAGATGGTGGAGGAGGCCATGGGCTGCAAGCTGAAGATCCTGAGGAACGACGGCGTCGTGACCAGCCCCTGCGCCAGGCCCCGCAAGTCGGGCCACGCGCTGCTGCTGCTCGCCGGGCAGACGTTCATGTGCGACAAGATCTACCTGGTGGACCTCAAGGCGCAGCAGATCCTGCCCAAGGCCGACCTGCCGAGTCCCCGCAAGGAGTTCAGCGCGTGCGCCGTCGGCTGCAAGGTCTACGTCATGGGCGGCCGCGGCTCGGAGAACGGCGTGTCCAAGGTGAGGGCTGCCCGCTGGCCGGGGGCGGGGGGCGGGGGGCCGGGGCGGGGGGCGGGGGCGGGGGGCGGGGGCGGGGGGTGGGGGGCGGGGGGGTGGGGGCGGGGGGCTGGGGTGGTCAACTCTGAACTGAACCGGTTTTATTTCACGTTACCAGATGTTGTGTAGCGCCGAGATTGTCTCCCGAACGGAATGAGAACGCGATGCCAGTCCCACGCAGGCTCCATCAGCGGCCCGCAGCACAGTTCTAAACCACGTCCTGTCCTGTCCCCCCCTCCCTTCCCTCCATCCCCCCTCTCCTCCCTCTCCTCCCTCCCTCACTCTCCTCCCTCTCCTCCCTCTCCTCCCTCTCTTCCCTCTCCTCCCTCTCCTGTGTGTTTCTGTCTATCTCTCTGTGTTTTCTCTCTCAGTGTGTCTCTGTGTCTCCTCTCTGTGTCACTCTATGTCTCTCTCTATGTCTGTCTCTCTGTGTGTCTTTCTTTGTCTGTCTCTCTCTCTCTGTCTCGCTAGCGCGGTGCCACCACCACCACCGCCGCCAGCAGCAGCAGCAACGCTTGACCCCACTCCACCCGGAGCTCGACACGTGCCGCCCCGTCGTGCCGGTGTGGGCGCGTGGTGGTGGTGGTGGTTGGGGGTGTTGGTGGTGGTGGTGGTTGGGGGTGTTGGTGGTGGTGGTGGTTGGGGGTGTTGGTGGTGGTGGTGGTTGGGGGTGTTGGTGGTGGTGGTGGTTGGGGGTGTTGGTGGTGGTGGTGGTTGGGGGTGTTGGTGGTGGTGGTGGTTGGGGGTGTTGGTGGTGGTGGTGGTTGGGGGTGGCCGATTGATGCCATCCAAGGCACAGAAACGGAATCTCCACTCGTGGCCAGAGGCAGCTCCCACTCTGTGTTGGGCCAGGGGGAGCGGGGGGAGGTTGGGGAGCCGGGGTGAGCGGGGGGGTAGCCGGGGGACGATGGTGACGATGGTGACGATGGTGACGATGATATAATCATTTTGATCTCTCCATCATCCCCACTGCTGCGTGGCTCACGCGGAGCAGCAGCTCGGCGTGTGTGTGTGTGCGTGTGTGTGCGTGCGTGTGTGTGTGCGTGCTTGTGTGCATGTGTGTGCGTGCGTGTGTGTGTGCGTGCTTGTGTGCGTGTGTGTGTGTGCGTGTGTTTGTTAGCGCGCTGCGCTATGAATCTGGCGACCCGGGTTCGATTCCCGCTCACGGCCAACACCAGTGACGATTATCTGAACCGGTCCTGGGCCTCCCCTAGGTCGACTCAGCCTTAAATGAGTACCTGGTGCGGTGTGTAAACATCGCCACTAGGGAGACAAAGGCGGTCGGGCGTGGTGCTGGCCACCCACCCCCTCGTGTACCGTTCCGGCCTTCATAGGTGCTCGCTAACAGCACTTGCCCCTACAGTCTGTTCAGGCTATACGGGGGATCTTTGTGTGCGTGTGTGTGCTCGTGTGTGTGCGTGCGTGCGTGCTTGTGTGCGTGTGTGTGCGTGTGTGTGCGCGTGTGTGAGCGTGTGTGTGCGTGCGTGTGTGTGTGCGTGCGTGCTTGTGTGTGTGTGTGCGTGTGTGCGTGTGTGCATGTGTGTGTGTGCGTGTGTGTGTGCTCGTGTGTGTGCGTGCGTGTGTGCGTGCTTGTGTGCGTGTGTGTGCGTGTGTGTGCGCGTGTGTGAGCGTGTGTGTGCGTGTGTGTGTGTGTGCGCGTGCGTGTGTGTTTGTGTGTGTGTGCGTGCGTGTGTGTGCGCGTGTGTGTGCGCGTGTGCTCGTGTGTGTGTGTGCGTGCGTGCGTGCGTGTGTGCGTGTGTGCGCGTGTGCGTGTGTGCGTGTGTGTGCGTGTGTGTGCGCGTGTGTGTGCGTGTGCGTGTGTGTGCGCGTGTGTGAGCGTGTGTGTGTGATCGTGTGTGTGTGTGTGCGCGCTCGCCCAACGGGGGTTGGTGCGCCGCCCTCTGAAATCGACGTCCCGAGTTCGATTTTCCCGGGTCCCCTGGTTGCCGAGGTGTCATTCGTGGTTGCCAGGTCGCTTTTTTAAAAATCCCTCAGCGGGCTTTGCCTGGTAGGATGTGGAAAAAAATCCCTCAGCGGGCTTTGCCTGGTAGGATGTGGATGGTTTGGTGTTGTATTCGTCATGTGTCTGGGTGATTCGTTTATCTCTCTTGCACCACGCACTCCTTGCATGTTTTTGTATCGTTGTAATGTTCTGACCCCGTGCCCCCCTTCCTGGACATCTGTTAAAATGAACAAACTCGTTAATTTGTATTTTATTTTTTATTTTAAACAACGGTTTCATTAACAACTTCGTTTAACTCGCGGTCTTTGAGAAGTGCGTCAATGGCGCCCGAGACGCCGCGTGGCGCCGGCTTTGTGTGCGAGGCGTCCACACAAAATGTGAATTGCTTTAAAGTAGCAAATTCATTGATTTAATCGATGCCGATTTTGATCCAGGCACGCATTGTCACGGGATCTGAGTCCGTGTGCAAAATGTGGAATTGATTGGACAACGGGAAGTGGACGATGTTTTGACCCAGACACACAGAGGACTCAAGATGAAGTAAAAGCGTTGTAAGAAAGAGCTTCATAGCTCATCGGATTCCCCCCCCACCGCCCCGCAGGACGTGTGGGTGTACGACACGGTGCACGACGAGTGGTCCAAGGCGGCGCCCATGCTCATCGCTCGCTTCGGCCACGGCTCTGCCGAGTTGGAGCACTGCCTCTACGCCGTGGGCGGCCACACGTCCACCGCCGGCGTCTACCCGGCGTCGCCCTCCGTCTCCCTCAAGCAGGTGCCGTGAGGCCGCCACTGCTGCTGCGATCGCTCGCTCGCTCGCTCGCCCGGCCGCTCGCTCGCCTGGCTTTGACTCTCTCCCTCGAACCTCTCACTCACTCACTCACGCAACGCTGTCATGCGCTCGTGCACCCAGTCACACTCTCACGCACCCACTCATCCACCCACTCACACACCCAATCATCCACCCAATCATCCACCCTCCAACTCATCCACCCACTCATCCTCCCATCCACCCTCCAACTCATGAATCTACTCATCCACCCACTCATCCACCCACTCACCGATCCACTCACTCTCATCCATCCACCCACTCACACACTCATTCACCCACCCACTCTCACCCACCCACCAACTCATCCACCCACTCACACTCTCATCCACCCACTCATGCACCCACTCATCCACCCACTCACCGACCCACTCACTCTCATCCATCCATCCACCCACTCACACACTCATTCACCCACTCACTCACTAACCCACTCACACACTCATTCACCCACCCACCAACTCGCCCACCCACTCTCACCCACCAGCTTGCCTACCTTCTGACCTTCCGTGCTCTCACCCTCTCGCTCGCCCTGGCGTCCACCCTCTCGCCCGCCCTGTTGACCCGCTCTCCCACTCTTCTACCCTGTCGGGGGGCTGCTCGTACACCCCCCCCCCCCGGTCACCGCGTTCCCACCAGGTTGTCAGGGTGGCGGTGGTGGGTGGTGGCGGCAGTTGTGGTGGGTTGCGGTGGTGGTGGTGGCGGTGGTGGTTGTGGTGGTGGCGGTGGTGGTTGTGGTGGTGGCGTTGGTGGTGGTGGCCTATTTTTGGAACTATCCATGACCACTTTGTTTCTGGTGGGAGTCGTCAAACCGCCACAGGAAGCCACGCGCACACACACCTGTGCACACACGAGCACGCACACACGCACACGCACACACACGCACACACACGCGCTCACACACACGCACACACACGCGCTCACACACGCGCACATACACCTGGGCACACACGAGCACGCACGCACGCACACACACACACACCTGGGCACACATGCGCACACGCGCACACACGCACGCACACGCACACACACCTGAGCACACACGCCCGCACACACGCACACACACATGCACACACACATGCACGGGCACACGAGGGCACACACACACACTCGCACACACACATGCACGGGCACACGAGGGCACACACACCTGGGCACACACGCACACACACTTGCACACACACACACTCGCACACAGACACCCACGCACACATACAAAGATCCAAAGAGCCCCCATATAGCCTTAACAGACTGTAGGGGCAAGTGCTGTTAGCGAGCACCTATTAAGGCCGGCACGGCACACGAGGGGGTGGGTGGCCAACACCACGCCCGGCCGCCTTTGTCTCCCTAGCGGCGATGTTTTCACATCGCACCAGGTACTCATTTGAGGCTGAGTCGACCTAGGAGAGGCCCAGGACCGGTTTAGATAATCATCACTGGGTGTTGGCCCTGAGCGGGAATCGAACCCGGGTCGCCGGGTTCATAGCACAGCGTAGCGCTAACCGCTACACCACCGATCCAGATACACGCACACACACGCACACGCACACACACACCTGGGCACACACGCACGCACATACACTCGCACACACACACCTGGGCACACGAGCACACACACACCTGGGCACACGAGCACACACACGCACGCACGTACAGACACGCACACACACATGCACGCACGTGCAGACACGCACACACACTCGCACACGCACGCACACACACTCGAACACACACATGCACACACACCTGGGCACACGAGCACACACACACCTGGGCACACACACCTGGGCACACGAGCACACACACACACGCACGTGCAGACACGCACACACACTCGCACACGCACACACACTCGAACACACACATATGCACCTGGGCACACGCGCACGGGCACACAAACACACGCACGTGCAGACACGCACACACACACACGCACGTGCTACTTTCTCGCAGGGATCCAAACAAAGCGGTGGTTTATTATATATATAATTATATATATACTAGCTGTACTACCCGGCTTCGCCCGGGACTTGTATCCACCACGGCCGGCCGCCTTTGTCTCCCCAGTGGCGATGTTAATACGCTACAGCAGTTACTCGTTTGAGGCAGAGTCGACCTAGGGGAGGTTCAAATAATCGTCACCGGTGGTGGTCGTGAGCGGGAATGGAACTGGGTTCGCCGGGTAGGTAGAGCAGCGTAGCGTTAAGCACTACACCCACCGCTCCTCACACACCACACACGCACAGACACACACACAGACACACACACAGACACACGCAGACACACACAGACAGACAGACACACACACACAGACAGCACGCTAACCACTACACTACCGCTCCCCACACACCACACACGCACACACACAGACACACACACAGACACACACACAGACACACACACACAGACACACACACACAGACACAGGCAGCACGCTAAGCACTACACTACCGTTCCCCCTACACAACACACGCGCGCGCGTCCATAGGTACACATACACGCGCTTGCTGCAGACACACACGACTTTCAGGGTGCGTACGGCAGTAAACGACTGAAATAATAAAGCGGCAATGCTGCGCAAGGAACTCCTTAGACCTGCAACACATTTGTGTAATGCGAGCGTAAACACACAAACACATACAAACACATACACAATACACACACACATACATGCAGACACACAGACAGACACATAACACACATACATACACACACATACATACACAGAAACACATACACACACATACATAGACACACACATACATACACACAAACACATGCACACACGTACATACATACATACAGACACGCAGACATACACATTAAGACATAGAAAAAAACCCACATACATGCACACACACACAAACACATACACACACATACATACACACATACATACAGACACACAGACATACACATAAACACATACACACATATGTATGACCCGGCTTCGCCCGGGACTTGGATCCACGATGCCCGGCCGCCTTTGTCTCCCCAGTGACGATGTTCACACACGACAGCAGTTACGCGTTTGAGGCTGAGTGGACCTAGGGGAGGGCCAGGTCCGTTTCAAATAATCGTCAGCGGTGGTGGGCGTGAGTTGGAATGGAACTGGGGTCGCTCAAGCAGCTTAATGACTATTTGTACAAAGAACATATAAAGAATCGATTATAATAACCAGGCTACAGTCCACATTATAGACTGCCAGTACACGCAGTCAGCTTCATAAGCAGGCTAGAGTGTACATGATAGAGTGGCAGTACGCTCACCGAGCTTAATAAGCAGGCTACAGTCTACATGATAGACTGGCAGTACGCTCACCCAGCTTAATGACTATTTGTACAGTGAACATTAAAGTAATCGATTGTTGGCGCGTTGGGTTTAAAAGTAATATTAATTGCACACATTGTGGTGGGGGTGGAGTGAAGAGTAGGAAAAACTTTGATGAATTTACCTCAGAGTGGCGTGGTGGGTGTCGAGGCCTAGTAGCGTGCAGAGCCTGCGGCCTCGCCTAAATTGCCCACCCGGCAGAGGCAGGGTATGGGTGGCGTGCCTTCCCCCCCCCCTCAGCGCTCCAACAATACTGTGTAATGGCTATTATTTAATTATTTACGGAGCCTATGAAAGTGGCGAAGGCGTGGCTAGCCGTTGGCAGGGGCAACCGCCGTCCAATGAAACTGCAGCCCTTGGCGAAGGCGTGGCTAGCCGTTGCCAGGTCCAATGAAAGCGGCGAAGGCGTCGCTATCCGTTGCCAGGGGCAACCGCCGTCCAATGAAAGTGCGTATGGTCCGAAATCCACACACACACACACAGACGGACAGACAGACATGCACGATTTTATATATATAGATAATTATTTTGCTGTTATCGCCATCATCCGTGGTCTATCCACTGCTGGATGTGGGCCTTCTCCAAGGCCGCCACTGTCTAAAGCAATCCTGTGATGGCGACAATCTCACCTGGCGTCTACTCAGCGTGGAAGTAAATAACTATACACGCGACACACGACACACGTCAACAACAACAATAACGACAGCAACTCGGTATGACTCAGCCTGGCCCGCCGTGGCCGCTGCACCGCTGCCCGACGCTGTGAGCACGGCGTTCACTTCGCCTGCCGCCCGTGCGGGTAGCAATCACCGTGTGAGTAGCAATCACCGTGTGAGTAGCAATCACCGTGTGAGTAGCAATCACTGTGTGAGTAGCAATCACCGTGTGAGTAGCAATCACCGTGTGAGTAGCAATCACCGTGTGAGTAGCAATCACCGTGTGAGTAGCAATCACCGTGCGAGTAGCAATCACCGTGCGAGTAGCAATCACCGTGTGAGTAGCAATCACCGTGCGAGTAGCAATCACCGTGCGAGTAGCAATCACCGTGTGAGTAGCAATCACCGTGTGAGTAGCAATCACCGTGTGAGTAGCAATCACCGTGTGAGTAGCAATCACCGTGTGGGTAGCAATCACCGTGCGGGTAGCAATCACCGTGCGGGTAGCAATCACCGTGTGAGTAGCAATCACCGTGTGAGTAGCAACCACCGTGTGAGTAGCAATCACCGTGCGAGTAGCAATCACCGTGCGGGTAGCAATCACCGTGCGAGTAGCAATCACCGTGTGAGTAGCAATCACCGTGTGAGTAGCAATCACCGTGTGAGTAGCAACCACCGTGCGAGTAGCAATCACCGTGCGAGTAGCAATCACCGTGCGGGTAGCAATCACCGTGTGAGTAGCAATCACTGTGCGAGTAGCAATCACCGTGCGGGTAGCAATCACCGTGCGAGTAGCAACCACCGTGTGAGTAGCAATCACCGTGTGAGTAGCAATCACCGTGTGAGTAGCAATCACCGTGTGAGTAGCAACCACCGTGTGAGTAGCAATCACCGTGCGAGTAGCAATCACCGTGCGAGTAGCAATCACCGTGCGAGTAGCAATCACCGTGCGGGTAGCAATCACCGTGCGAGTAGCAACCACCGTGCGAGTAGCAACCACCGTGTGAGTAGCAATCACCGTGCGAGTAGCAATCACCGTGTGAGTAGCAATCACCGTGTGAGTAGCAACCACCGTGTGAGTAGCAATCACCGTGCGAGTAGCAATCACCGTGCGAGTAGCAATCACCGTGTGAGTAGCAATCACCGTGTGAGTAGCAACCACCGTGTGAGTAGCAATCACCGTGCGAGTAGCAATCACCGTGTGGGTAGCAATCACCATGCGAGTAGCAATCACCGTGCGAGTAGCAATCACCGTGTGAGTAGCAATCACCGTGTGAGTAGCAACCACCGTGTGAGTAGCAATCACCGTGCGAGTAGCAATCATCGTGCGGGTAGCAATCACCGTGTGAGTAGCAATCACCGTGTGAGTAGCAATCACCGTGTGAGTAGCAATCACCGTGTGAGTAGCAATCACCGTGCGAGTAGCAATCACCGTGCGAGTAGCAATCACCGTGCGGGTAGCAATCACCGTGTGAGTAGCAATCACCGTGTGAGTAGCAATCACCGTGTGAGTAGCAATCACCGTGTGAGTAGCAATCACCGTGCGAGTAGCAATCACCGTGCGGGTAGCAATCACCGTGTGAGTAGCAATCATCGTGCGGGGCGCTATCACCGTGTGAGTAGCAATCACCGTGCGGGCGTTTCCTCCACGTTACAAGGGGGGGGGCATAGTCCGAAGCCTCTGCCCAGCTGCTGCCGCTTACGAACACAAAGGTTAGCGGGCGCGGCACGGTGCCCCCCACCGCCACCGGCCCTGCGGTGTTTCCGCACATTCCTCCGCTCGGTAGAAACCGCCCCTCCCCCCCCCGGGCTCCACACCGGAGCTGTCACAAGACGAACAGACTCCAAATATGCAGCAGCGGCGTCCGTCAGGGTCGGGATCGAACCCACGACCTCCTGCGTACCAGGCGAGGTCGTTAACTATTCAACTTTTATTTTAGCAGGTAAGGGCCCGCTGGGCTATGTAGATTTGTTTCAGAAGCCATCTGGCGAACACAAATGATTGTTCGACCAGGTGGCTTATCGTGACCACCACGTGGAAATGTTTCGCAGCCAGA